TATTTCAATCAACCTTGCGATAGTTTCTACGAAGTGTTACGGTTTTGCTTCTATCGGTTGTGGTTTTTAGATTAAGGCTGCATATGACAATGTTATGATCACTACCTGGGAACTTTTTTCCAATATACAAAGTATTGGGGATGAGGCCACTGGTAAAGACTAAGTCCAAGATGTTTTGATATCTGGTAGGGCTATCGACATACTGAGTCCATTGTCCGAGCTCTAGACATTCAATAAATGATTCATAACGTCTCGGGGCTTTGACTGGCAGCCAAGAAATTTCGGGCATATTGAAGTCAATATTGATGTCGATAGGTATACCATCGATGGAACATCCATCAACACTAATGATGACGTGTCGAGGCTCAGCACCATCATTACGTCGAAGGTATTAAACTCCCTAAGCAAATTCGGGTCTCCCAGCTCAGGGTCCCTGAACTCAACAGTGGTTCCCAAAAACCCTGTAGGTGATTCGACCGAAGTTAAGAAAGCCCAAAAAACCAGGCATCACCGCCTAAGCCGAGCAACCCAAGTGTTGCTGTACGGAAATTAACTGGTGATTTGGTCGCACAGTCTACTCCCAAGACTGTTCGTCCGGTCAAAAAAGAGACCAAGCCTCGTAAACGCACACTGACCTCCAAACAGCAAGTCATTAAACATGAATCCGCCGTGAAACCTGGTAAATTAACAACAGTTCGTGACGACTCTCTCATTATCATGAACCTCGTTGATAATCCTGACCTTCCTCTCAGTCTGCAGGACAAAAACGACAGGATGCTTTGGGGTGAATTAAACAAGAAGCTAGAACTTCCTAGAATAGAGCCTTTGATGGTCACCCGGCTCTCTAGAGGAAAGGACTCTAAGCATCTAAATCACCCAAGGCTTCTCCGAGTAACACTTAAGAATGCTACTGATGTAGAGGACGTCTTACCAGCAAGTCACTTGCTGAAATCAGATGGCAACGTAAGAATATTGCCCGATATACCGTTCTCTGAGCGCAATATCATACGAAACATCCCTAAAGAATCTCGTGAGAAGTTTTTCCGCGGAAGAAACATAATTGTGCAAGGTATACCGGAGAATGCAGACCCTACTCAATCAAATTCTGACATCAGTGAATGGAAATTCATCAAACAGTCCTTGAGGCTCAAACACATACTGACTCAGCATGTGACGAGATTAGCCAAGAAGGACGGTGATCTTAGACCCCGTCTAATGAAGATAACTTTCCCATCTTTCACATGGCGGCTGCAGTTCTGGAAGCATTTCGTGCCAACAGACGTCGATTGCCACCTGGAATCCACATGCACGCGGACAGGCCATATGAAGCCAGGACCAAGTACAAAGGCAAGTTGGAGCTGACCATTTCACTTGTGGATTGTCTCAACGATAAAAAAAACGTGTAAAGGACAGGGCCTACCACCTCGGTAAACCTCACATGGGTGGGCTACCTGTCCATTCACATAAGGCTCATACAGAAAAACAGGACGAAGCTCACGCGTTCCAAATTGAAAGCATAAACTGCTTATATATGAACGCCTCGAGTCTACCAAACAAACTGGATGAATTACGTGAACTTTGCAACGCTAATAAAGCCCACCTGATAGGAATATCTGAAACCTGGATATCTTCTCAGTTCTCGGACGAAGAGTTAGCATTACCAGGGATGACTTTGTTCCGCAACGACAGAACAACAGGAATTGGGGGTGGAGTAGCCATATACATAAGCTCTTGCTTGCAGGTGCACCAAGTTCACAACAATCTTAAGGAATCCATATGGAGCTCTGTAAGATTGTCTAGCACTTGGAGGTGTCTAGTCGGTGTCATTTACAGGAAGCCAACTGCTGACATCGAGTACGATAGTCGTATGCTGGATGGACTATCCCGCTCTACTCGTCTCGGTTTCACACATATCCTGATTCTAGGGGACTTTAACCTTCCTAAAGTCAACTTCGTGGAACACACGTATACTGGAGGCGACAACTCAATTGAAGCTCGGTTCTTCAACCTCATCGATGACTTGGGCTTATATGAAAATGTGAGGTCGGCAACTCGTTGGAGAAACAGTCAGACACCATCGCGGTTAGACTGTGTATTCACAAACGAAGAATTCCTAGTTGACAACCTCTCAATCTTGGCTCCTCTGGGAAAGAGCGATCATGCCATCATAGCCTTCAGTTTTGTCACCAAAACTAAGCTAACGTATCCCAACAATAACTTGCGTTGGAATTTTAAACGGCTGAATGTGGCAGCTCTACACGACTATTTACAACAGGTGGTTTGGGATGTTCACCCCCAACTCGATGTGGACGGTCACTGGAACTTCTTACTGCACACGCTCTTATGTGTTACAAACCATTCAGTTCCTCAAACGGTTCCCAAAAGCTGTAAGCCACCTACAATAATCAAGAACCGTACCCTTCGCCTGCTAAGCCGTAAAAGGCACTGTTGGGCGGAATACAAACGAACTGACAACGACGGAGCGTATAGGCAATTCAAACATATCAGGAACATATGCACGAAGGCTATAAGAGAAGACAGGCTTCAGTATCAGACAAAGCTTATGGACAAATTTGCCTCGAACCCTAGAAGCCTATTCCGTTATGCAGCCTCTCTTCGTCAAGCCAAAACAGGAGTTTCTCAACTGCTAGGTCTTAACGGCCCAACCAACAACGATGGTGACGCCGCTAACCTTCTGGCGGCACATTACTCTCAAACATTTCAGCCGGCTGACATCAACTCTATTGACGACAGTTTCACCTGTAATTCCACAGGGCTTTCCGAAGTGGACCTAAGCGCTGACTTGGTGTTTCGGAAACTGCAGCACTTAGGACTAGATACTTCTCCTGGCCCGGATATGGTTCATTTTGCCATACTGAGGGAGGCAGCCTCAATCCTGGCAACGCCGCTTAGCGTGATGTTTTCACACTCGCTAAGCCAAGGCAAACTACCGGAAAATTGGAAGTTGGCTCACATCACACCAATTTTCAAAGGGGGTCGACGCAATGAACCTTCAAGTTATCGGCCGGTGGCTCTTCTGTCATTACCTTCAAAACTCATGGGTCCCTGATATGCGATGGTTTAAACGATTATCTACTGTCCTTAAACTTCTTCTCACCCCAACAGCATGGTTTCAGGAAGGGTTACTCTAGTATAACCAACCTGCTGACTGCGGTGGACAGATGGACAAGCATCCTCGATCGCAAGGGAAAGGTTGATATCATATACCTTGACTTCTCAAAAGCTTTTGATAAAGTTAACCACTTGTGTCTTATCAATAAGCTCAAACGACCAGGTATCAAACCACCTCTAATCGATTGGCTTACTTCATACCTAGAAAATCGACACTTTAAGGTTAGGGTTAATTTCACTTTATCTCAGGCTATGGAATGTCCTAGTGGGGTTCCCCAGGGCTCAGTATTAGGGCCTCTCCTCTTCTTGATCTACATAAACGATCTTCCTCAACAGGTAACGTCAGACTTACTACTTTTTGCCGATGACGTGAAACTTTGCAGAGAGATACGCAACCAAGACGATACACAGGCACTTCAGGAGGATCTGATTCGACTTCAAAGTTGGGCAGATGATAACGGACTTACCTTTAACACTTCAAAGTGTAGAGTAGTCCATCTGCGACATGTCGCAGACTACAGTTATAACTTAAGAAATTCCTCTCTAGTAGTATCCCAAGTCGAAAAAGATTTAGGAGTCCTGGTGCCCCATGACTTAAAGTCTTACGCTAATTGTGATAGAAATGCCTTCCGAGCAAACCTTGCACTGGTAACATTGAAGCGCATTTTTGGCCAGTTTGACGGACGAACTTTCCATACAATCTTCAGTAGTTTCATCCGTCCCCATTTAGAGTACGGAAATATAGTACTCCCCCCTCACTCCAAAAGGACAAGGTCACTTTGGAGCGTATCCAACGGCGAGCCACGAAATCAGTTCGCGGACTCATATCTAAGCCTTACGAAGAACGCCTCCATTCACTAGACCTTTACCCATTAGAGTATAGGCATCTTAGAGGTGATTTATTAGTGGCTTATAATATTCTTAACACTTCTGGACATCCTCTTAAACACCTACTCAAGCTTAGTTCGAATAATAACCTAAGGGGTAACACCCAGAAACTGGAAACTCAATATAGCAAGACGGGATGTAGACACAACTTCTACTCCTTAAGAGTTGTCAAAAGCTGGAATTCGCTGCCGGTCGAGCTAGTCCAAGCGACTTCTCAGGAGTCCTTCAAGAGGCAACTTGACCTATTCTTAAGGACCTAGGACAGTATCATACTATGATTTACCAATTTCTTTTCCTCTTTTATTGTTAACATACCTAGGTTCCTGCCTGGAGGATTTGGTGATCCCCTGCTACTGGACACGGAAGCCTGTTAAGCGAAAGCTTCTTCTATTCCGTCCACAGCCATTTGAACCATTTGAATTTACTTTCTGTGTGAGTGAAATGAGTATAGGTAGTCTGAGAAGTAATATAATTATTTTTCTATACGTCAACTAAAATGTCTCTTGAACATGAAGCATTTATTATTTATTAGAACAGTTATTTCGTGCAATAATTCTATACTAACTGAAGGAAGTACTACAAATACTTAAGTCTTACCGGTTACTGGACATTTCGTCTTTACTCCTGAGTTTAACAGCGATTCAAACAAACTTTGCGTATCTATAACTCATAAGTTTATCTTATCTTCGTTACTTTGTTTTCTGGACCTTATATTAAAATTAAATAAAGGCGTTGAGGTTCATTACAGTAATTGAGATCACAGACCAAGTTACGAAGCAACAATATTGTTGCTGAATATAGAGCTAACTTGTGCACTGGAAAATAGAGAATGCTAAATTATTGCTTTTGGCAGCTATTTTGTGTTTTTGATACAGCAAAAGACGACGTAAATATGAGAAAACGTAATACTCTTGCAGCAGAAACAACCGGTTTAAACGTTAGGTCCTTTTGAAATGTGCCCGCCCTTTCGTTTCAGCGACCTTGAACGGCTTGATTAGAGGCGGTCATTCCGTATTTCAATTGCCGTGGGTTGGTTGGTTTGCATGAGTATCAATTTTTTTCATATATAAGTCATCCTATGCTACATAAAAAGCACGAAATAAATAGCAAAACCATTAATTTAGCGTTCTCTGTTTTGTAGTGTGCACTTTGGCTCTGTTGTTGCTTTGTAATTTGATCTTTGATCCCAACAATTGTAGTAAAGCTAAACGAAATGTCAAGTCACAGGTAAATCTCAAGTATTTGTAGTATTTTCTTGGGTTATTATTGTTGCAAGGAATAACTGTTTAATAATTAGTCATGTCTGTTTTTAGTGCTTCATCCTCAAGTGACATTTCAGTCGACCTAACCGATGCCTTTCGAATTATGATACTGAACAAGCGTTTCGTGTTGTGGGATGATTTTGAAAGTGCCTTAAAAGAGTTCCAAAAAGTATGGAACTATAATTTTATCGCTTCTCAGACTACTTATACTCGTTACATCCACACAGAAAGCAGATTGCTGAAGGATGTCAGGTTCAGATACCTGTTTGTATCGTTTAATTGTACGTTTGGTCACAAACGGAAATCGGAAAGTTTGAAAGTGAGGCAAAAATCGTAAGATCTTTAACTAATATCTTATGTTTAAGGTCTAAATTCCGTAATTGTCAATCTAAATTCCGTGTAAGACTAGAAGAGCAAGGATATGTCATCAAATCCTACAAGATGATACACAATCATCCATGTAGTAGTTCATGGATGGTATGTGATCCATGGACAAGGAGATTATCGTCGGAAGAAAAAGAGAACTTGAAGCCCGTAATACTTCACTGTGAGTCAGCAGACGAAGTTATCGAAAGTATTAAGGAGAGAACTGGTAAGCAAGTAACTGCTGCCGATGTCAAAGCTATGAAAGCTAAACTCTCCACTGGTAAGTGTATATAAATATATTTCAGGTTGTTGTACTCGGAAGCAAGTAATGGATATGCTTAGACAAAAAGGCGAAGTGAGGGAGCATTTAGAAAATGGATATGCGACGAGAATATGTTTCAGTAGTTATAACCAAATACAACTCTATAGGAAATATCCAGAAGTCGTGTGCATTGATTCTACGTATAATACTAATAATAAAAAGTGAATATGTTTATCGTTGTGTTTTACTATGTAGATATTCCTTATTCCAGATAGTGGTGACGGATAATTTCGGTCAACTAGAAGAAGTGTCGAAGATCAATTGATAGCCGGAAGATATTATAAATATAATGCTCCACAACGTTTAATACCCTTGCTAAATATTTTGACGCCATTCGCAAGATCTAAAGTGTTATACGAGCTTAAACAAATGCGTTTTGTCTACGTGGAATATGAAAGCGGCGACTGGTTGTTCATGGTTGACCGTGGACAACATTATGAAGTCGATATAAGCATTTGTCAATTCGAAATTATCAAATCAAACCTTGGTAATGACACCTACAAACTCATGTTTATGATGTGTTGATATCCCTGCCGTCACATGCTACTTGCCTACGTTAAAAGAAGAAATCTTACAGGTAAGCTATATCAATAATGAAATACTAACCGCATAGCTCATCAACTTCTTAGGTATTGTAGCAGATGGAAGTTACACAATACCCAGAACTTCCAAAATTATACATTAACTGCATTACCACGACGGAGTGAAGAGTATGTAAGTATTCAACGCAGCCAAAGAATCCATAAACATCGCATCATTGAGAAGTATGGTGAACGCTTCGCAACAGAAGTTGAGAAGAAAGTTGACAATTATTACTTAAGAATTCTTAATACCAACTTGTAAACTTGATTTTCTGCTTTAGCAGCAATGATTCTTCAATAAACTTTCATAATTTCAATTTTCATCTTATTACTACTTTTATGGGAATGAATAGCAATGATGTTCATGTGTAACTGTTTGTAATAATTAAGATTGATTAAGAAACCCTACATCGACGTACAGTTTTGCAGATTAGGCACCCACATATCATATTCACCTTCGTGGGATTACGTTTATCATTAAAATCGTATCAGTACCTATGTACATTTTAAGTTCATGTGATTAATTCCGCTTATGAATCAAAATAAAACCAGGAGAAATGTTGATTAACAGTGGTATGCATTCATTACAACTAAATATGCAATAGGATTTAACAGTGATGTGGGAAACAGTTGACATACCTGAATATGAATAGATGAAATGACGCAGGTTATCAATAGTGAATATATATATATATATATATATATATATATATATATATATATATATATATATATATATATATATATATATATATATGCAGTGTAAGGTCAAAGGTCATTTGCTTTTACAGTCAATAACACATTAAGAATGGGTGATATAATAGTTGACTGTAGTTCACAGACAGATAAGTGGTGTGAAAATCTTATAACTTGTAAATGATCCGTGGATTTAAGAACTGAAAACTTGAGTTACGTCATAATTGATTACAATTTGCAGAGGTCACGTAATTACAGAGGATTAAGTGACAGGGTGATGGAAAAAATGCGTAACTAAATTTTAAAAGTGAAATAAATTATTACATAATCCTTCTTATTACTTGTTCATTCCATGGATTATAAGGAGTTCATATTATTCTCTATCTATATTTGTTCTAGCGTCATATCGACTATTAATAAATACTGACACGGTTTATAACGTAAGACACTAAGTGTAGTTGCTATATTTATATTTCACTAATTCATTTGTTGAATAAAAATGATTTTAATATGGTCTTCCATAATCACAAATTCTATAAGTTGTAGACCGGCGTAAACATCATCACAAAGCTTTTACGACTTCATTTGATTCATACAATTCTGAAAAACAAACAAATCAGTCGTGAAATAAAGAATTAGACCTAGTTATCAATATCACATTTAATAAGTCAATCAAATAGCAGGTTACAGAATGTACTTATAAGTCTCTTATTTGCAGACAGCGCTAATCATTAGAGATTTCTATTTCCTTTAATAAAAATTAATAGGTAATCTTTACAACACACAAATCAGTGTTATTTAAAAATTACTGAAATCAGGTTCGTCACAACATAGAAGCGTGGTCGGATTTATGAATAAAATGTAATTCAATAATGTGGCATAAAGGCGATATGAATACAAGGAACTTGTGATTCTGCTTCCATTGCTCATTCACTTTTCGTCACGTTGTCTGCATGAATTACTTTGGACGAGTCAGTCTGTAATGCAGTAGGAATTCATGAAATAACTCATTAATAGTTGTTTTTTGATTTAAGTTTGTGTCTTAACAAGCAATGGAAATTTCTTCAGTGTCCAACCCTTGTAGTATTTCGTCTATATATCTGGTATTAGCAGGAGAAATTGGTAAGCACCATTTAGATATTACTCGACAATATGCATCATAACTTTGTTCACATTTTCTTCTGCGATTGTGCATTTCCTTTACAGAGAATTATTCGTCAACCCTATAACAGACACATCATAAGTCAGTATTAAGTAAGACATGGTTTAGTCACCATGCTCAGAAGAGACACACATCGATTTACTTATGAAGATTTCGTGCATATTTAATGTGGTGTTACACACTATTTCTGTATAAGTTCAGAAAACCGGTAAAAAAGACTATCAACGTCTATTGTTACTCACATAATTTTTCTCTGATACCTTACACAGTAATATGTCACTTCAGTACAAAACAATGCTACCTATAGTCCAAATAACCTTTTATGGCTAAATACAAACAATTTATATAATATTCATAGTTACTTTAACGCTTACTTCTTTCTAATTACATTTTATAAACGACTACCAACATCTGTGTTTGCCGTCACCATAATCAAGGAGGTGAACCATATATAATTCTTTTTACGGCTTATTTTCATGAAAACTCAATCTGTAATCTATTTTTGACTAGAAAAATGATGATTTGACTTCTTTGACTTAGTATTGTTAAAAAAAACCATATTACGCCAGCTACATATTTACTTAGGTGGTGAGCACGAAATACGTCAAACTGCTTATAAATTGAAACAAAAACTATCTTCCAATCACAAAGATTACGAAAAGTCATGTATGACGGAAAAAAGGCTGTTAATAGCTGATAAATAACGACACATAAAATCCACGACAATACGTTACACGTGCGCGAAAACCCGTAAACTAACAAGCATACTGTGCCCAACCGACGACAATTGGAATACGGAATGACCGCCTCCAGTCAGGTCGTTCAAGGTCTTTGAAACGAGGCGGCGGCCTTAAAAGGATCTCATGGCCTTTCCTGGTCATCCATATTTTTTCATGTATTTTCCCCCAGCTCTCTCCACTCAAAATATTTCAATTGCACACAAAGTATATTCCAGCTAGACGCAAACTGTTGCATATGCATCGGTTCTTATCCTTTAACCTGCATACAAGTCCCCCCCATTCCTTTGCTTCTAATGTAGAGTTTTGTAAGATTGGTAAAGCCTAGCTGTTTAGTTTGCTCAAGTTTTAAGAAAACTTTATTGGGATAGGTGGTTTTCATGCGTCCATGCATTCTTATAAGAGTGTACAACTAAGGATTAGTCTAATGTGGTTGGGTCTTCGTATATAAATACAAACATAAGCTTAATGTTGTAGCAATAGCGGTTGAGAAAGTATGATAGTATGGCACGCAGTTGTCTTCCTTTTGACAATTTAGCAAGACGAGCGTGTTGGTAACTGTAATTTGACTTCGGATTTTCTCTGAACGGAGTAACAAATTCCTTAAATACCACCTGCGCCTACAAAATGTCATCGTAAATATCTTTCATGAGAGGTGAGAAAAATAGGTGGTATATATGGCATATGGTATCTAATGGTTTTTTTATAAACTACCATACAATTTCAGACTTATAATCATGTCACCCCGGGTCGTTTTATGACAAGAAAGTAGGCTTCAGTTGGTTAGAATGAAGAATTTTCGAGATCGCGTAATTAAGTTTTGTCACAATTTCGAGCTAAGACTATCTGCTTGGATATCACTGAGATTCTGGTGAACAAGTGCTGCATACTGATATCCTGTTGACCATCTGCTGCAACTGTGCCCAGACTATCGTTTATTTTTAACAAGCACTAATTTCAAGCATAAGAAGAGACATAGTCTAAAATGGCGATCACCTTCACCAAACCAACGATGAACCCAACTAGACCATATTGCCATCAGTCATCGTTGTTGAGGTTCGAAAGAAGACTACTGCTCGTTCTGGAATACATGCTTGGACTCCGATCATGTTCTAATACAAGCACGCATTTGCTTGTGCTTCACTGGACACGATAAAGCCACATTAAAAAGACCCATTCGAGTTAAACTCAGTGACGAGAAAGCCAAAAGTAAATTACGGGAACAACTTAGTCTATTCCGAAAACGAGGCCGACCCGGATGTTGCTTAGCAAGATATACAAACAGCAGAGACATCTACTAGTGATTTGAAACAAAGGACCACGAATAACCAGTGCATTTGTGCTACATCTCTTGCACTGCTAGACTCTCGTAAACTTATCCCATCAGGCTCCGAACACGATGATGAGCGAAAACAAATGAAATCTAGGTTAGCCCAAAGTCTATGGAACGATCGTGAGCAGTGGTGGCCAACGAAAGCAAAACAGATGGAAATGGCAGCGGCTGTAGGTAACATCAGGCAACTTTTCAGACTAATAAAAAAAGCCGAAATCGAGAAGTCAAGTGTAAGACAATCTCTGAAAAAGACAACATTCTCATCTGCTCGCGGTTTAGAGGTTTAGAACGATGGACGAAACGCTTTAAGGAGGAATTGGGCTTGCCTCCAACTATTTCACAGCTACCTACCATTTTTAAACATTCTGAACGGAACATTGAAATAGGCCCCCGACTCTAATTGAAGTTCAAAAAGCTGTAGCTAGTCTGAAACGAGGAAGAGCAGATGGATTGGCTCAAGAGGTCTTTAAGGATGGTGGTCCAATTTTAGCGATCAGGTTGATTAATATTTTAGCTAAGATCTGGGAGTTAGGCGTTATCCCATCTGACTGGTCACAATCACTTATCGTCCCAATATATAAGGAGTCAAAATCATCCTGTGACAACCACAGAGGGATTAGTTTAACTAATATAGTATCTACAATACTAGCCTCGATAATTATCGGATGCCTAACTAGGACTCGTGAACTGCAAACACGAGGAAATCAGGCTGACTTCAAACTTGGTTGTGGCTGCATCGACCACATATTCATCATTCGTCAGATCTTAGAACACAGACATGCTTATCGGCGCCCGACAATGGTGGTCTTTCTTCACTTAAAAGCAGCATTTGACTCTGTAGACCGAGAGGTTCTGTGTCAGTGTCTGCCATTGAAAGGCGTACCCCAGAAGTACATAAACCTTGTGAACGCTCTGGTTCTATGTTGTAGCTGACTGAGTGCTCCACTTGTCCTTCTAAGTATTAGCTTATTGGTCTTTTTGTCTGCGAAAATCACTCATATATTCCATACATACTTATAGTGTTTGGATGACTTTACTTTTCTGTTTAAGCTAATTTATTCGATATGATCCTTGTCGCAACATTGTGGTACTTAATACGGGGCTAGATACCTTGTTTTAGAGTATCCATATGAGATATGGCATTTGATCAGGATGGCCCACGTTACCATTGATCACTAATTCTGGCTGGCATTTGTACACTACCGAACTCACTAAATTAATCTCAAAAGTTGCTATCATTTTTTATCCATAGTGCTTTCCTCAGTGTCATTAATTTTGCAAAAATTTCAAAGACAGTTGTTTACACCAACTTATTAAATATATTTAGTATGGTATTCACCAGATTACTACTTTTGCCGTACTCACCACCGAAACTTCCATCTGACGCTATCATAGGTATCCTTTTGCAGATAATGCTTCCTGTGACCGGTTTTTCAAGGATTGATTTACCACTGGATGCACTTCATTTAACTTCAGTCTCATCGACCCTAGTATTTGCTGCATGGTGAAGATTCGATATAAATTCACAAGACTGTCTTGTATTTTTGGGTTACGTGTAGCGTAGGTTGTCCATCTGGCATCCAAGCAGCGAATATGTTGTGTAGAAGTTGCTTATCTCCTTTTTAGGTATGTGTGGACTGCGATATTCTAGTATTTATCTAGACAGTTTCATCTCACTGATCTGAAGCCCGATGGACATATGTACCGGTTTCTACGTTGCCTATTACTCCCCAACTCTTAAAGGATGTGGAGTTGCTGTTAGCGTACTTTCCTAACGAATAAGTTTGTAATTCGCAGCACTAAATATGCACCAGAGACATCGTGTTGCTTTGCTTCAGTCACAATGTGTTTTGCTCTAAAGACTTTTGTAAACTTTAATCTGGTTCCTTAGTAGCTTTTTGTAAGTACGGTTATCAACTTATAATTCAATCTTTTTTCCATTTCAAAGAAATATGCAGCCCCCTCTTGTCATGAGAATACTTGCTGCCTCTGTATCTTTAGCCGATAAGGCCTGTTTTTTGATTCGTGCGGTATATGATTCCAAAGACTTGGCCATTATCGACAAAGGAGTTGACGATTTGCAATCCAGAGCTGATCGAGATTCTCAGCGGTGCATAGTACATTCCTTGAACGAGACTTTTCCGGGTCTTCATGTTATTGGTATCTTTAATGTTTACTCTAATAACTCGAAAAATAGGCGAAGAAGGTGATCTGGATCCTGGAAATCTATCTACGTCCACTGAGTTAAACTCAACTGTTCTTGAACACCACTGTCCTCCAGAACTAAAAGATTTGTCACTGGAGGATATTGTAGTTTGGGTGGATCCATTGGATGGTACAAAGGAATTTACTGAAGTATGTTTATCTATTTGATTTTTATTCATAATATCAAGTAAAATACAACCACATACTAACAGTAGATGTTCATGGATGATTTTAAACTCTTAAGTAAAATTAATTTTCCGTGTACGTGCTTCTTCTAAATCCAGGGCCTTGTTGAGTTTGTTACAGTTCTTATCGGAATTTCGATTGCTGGAAAGCCTGTGGGTGGTGTTATCGCTCAACCCTTTTACAAAGCCAATACAACTGAGCCGCACTACACGACTCGAATCGTTTGGGGACTTGTAGGTCTGGGTGTGTTTGGCATAAACCCTCTGCTACCTTCTTCGAAATTGCCATATCCAATCAACCAAAATGCCCCAAAACTTACTTCACCTCATATTATTGTGGTTACTCGATCCCATCGCTCTACTACTCAGGATTTTGTCGATGGAGCATTCTATCCCACTGAAGTAAGCATTATTGTATTGTTACTATACATTTTTTGAATCTCTTGTGTACATATATTCAACACTTTTACATATCACATAGTTTTCAAATGTTTGATATTCAGCTGTAATTGTGGGTGTAAAATGCTTTGTATCGCTCTTAAAATCAAATAATCTATTAAACTCTACCATGGAAGTTGAAAAGTCTTCATTTTGAAGAGTTATGAAGCCTCATGGTGGGAGCCGAAATTCTTTGCATTTCACAAGGCTGATACTTTTCTAACAACCAGAGAAACAGTTTTTATAGGTACATCGAACGTCCGGACAATGTGGAAGACTGGGAAGACCAGACAAATAGAAACGGAAACGAGGAGATACAACTTTGATGGTGTTCGGAATCATTGGAACCCATTGGATCCAAGCTGTATAGGAAAGGTTAGATTCAGGAGAGATGCTGCTGTACTCTGGTCACGAAGAGGAAAATGCTCCTCACACTCAAGAAGTTGCTTTAACGCTTTTTAAAGAAGCACCTAAAGCACTTGTAGGACAGGAATCTCATGGATCCTGGATCATCAAAGCGTCATTCAAAACAGAGAAGGAGGGAATCACAATGAATTTTATCTAGTGTTATGCACCCACCAATTATAGCAGTGATAACGATAAAGATAAGTTCTACGAGAGGCTGCAATCGATCATAGCGGAATGTTCAGGAAATGACCTGACCAACCTAATGGGAAACTGAAACGCCAAAGTTGGAATGGACAACAAAGTTTATTAGGATATCATGGGATGACATGAACTGACAGAGATAGGAATGAGAATGGTAAGGGACTTGGAAATTTATGTGTATTCAACAAAATGGTTTTAGATTGCACAATATTTCCCCACACAAACACACAAAAAGCTACATGGGTCTCACCGGACCACACCACGGAGAATCGGATAGATCACATTTGTATCAATAAAAAATTCCGAAGGACAATTGAGGAGGTGAAAACCAAGAGAGGAGCTGACATAGCTTCAGATCATCACCTGGTGGTGACCAAGATGAAACTGAAGCTAAAGAAACACTGAACAGCTGGGGAAACATCATTAAAAAGGTTTAATGCATCGTTCCTTCGAGATACTAACAAACTCAATCAATTCAAGATAACTCTCAACAACAGGTTTCAAGCCTTACAGGATCTACTAAGAGAAGAATAAACTACTATGGAGGAAAACTGGAAAGGTATCAAAGAAGCACTAAATTCAACATGTCAGGAGGTTCTGGGCCGCAAGAAGCATCAAAATAATGAATAGATCGTCATCGAAACCCTAGATAAGATTCAGGAAAGGAAGAACGAGAATACAGCAATTAACAACAGCCGAACAAGAACAGAGAGAATCAATGCACAAGCTGAATACACAGAAGCAAATAGGGAAGTGAAAAAAGCATTAGAACTGAGAATCAAAAATATGTGGAAGACCTAGTAACAACAGCGGAAAAAGCTGTAAGTGAAGGAAATATGAGAGCTATATGACACAACGAAGAAACTAGTAGGGAAATATAGTAAGCCTGAGAGACCGGTCATGGACAATGAAAGTAAGCCAATCACTTGGATTCAGGGACAGATGAACAGATAGGTGGAACACTTTAAGGAACTCTTGGATAGGCCAGTTGTCTACTCAAGATACACAATGTAAGTTGGCAGGATAGCATCAGCAACAGTTTACTGTGGGAGAGAACAAACCAGCTTCCATCTGGAGAGGAAATTATGAAAAGACGCTGGAAGTATGTATGACATACATTGCAGAAACCATCAAACTGCGTCAATAGGCAAGCTCCAACTTAGAATTCTGAAGGGAAACATAAAAGAAGAAGACCAAAAAAATACATTATTTCGGGAATTAGAAGCAGACATCAAAAGGATGAATAGCAACTGGAAAGGACAGAGTTGGATGGAGAATGTTGGTGCACGGCCTATGCTTCTCCACGAGGGTTAGCAGGCGTAGGTAAGTAAATAATCGTTGTTCTAGTTTTTACGTAGTTTTCTTATGTGTGATGTGTATTATTATTATTATTATTATTATTATTATTATTATTATACATGAGCTACTTTACGAGCTCGTGTTTACAACCACTTGGTCACCACTAGTGATAAATACATACATGAATACATACGTTCCCAAGTACTTTAAGCACTATATTTATGCATTCTACCAATTTCCATATTTCGCTTATTTACAGAAGCAAAATTAATTTTGTGAGAAAACCCTTTTGTTGCTTGTTTTGTAAACATTAGTTGTAATCTATGAATCAAAAGCGAATATTAAACTTACAATATGTGTTAAGTTTTCCGTTTGAGACATGTCTATAGTCAAATTATTATTAATTCCGTAAAATATACCGAAACCATTGTGACTAGAAAAGTTCAACTTTATCGGTGTCGGGAAATAATTCTAGATTTTCTACGTCATCCCATTGTAGTTTCAAGAGTACATCTTAGTAAAACGTATTAAAAGATCTACATTTGCAAATCAGAGCAAAACATGCTAGCAAGTAGTATTAGTTTGTAAACCTTGTAGTTTATTAATGTTTTTTCCAAAGGTGTTTTATGCTTAATAGTCTTGATAAACCTTTTTCGTCGAGCTAAAATGTTTGATATGCTAAAAACCATTCGGTTTTGTACTTTTAAGTTTATATAGATTAACTGAAAATCGTAAACGTAGTAATTTACTATGACTAATATTATCTATATGTCGTTAACCTACACAAGAACTAGAGAAATGGTTAGCTAAATTCTTAAACCTAATCCACAATATTTATGTATTTTTATTTATTTATTTTAACATAAATATTGCTACAAAGGATCACCGAATACATATGCGCCACACAAGTCACTTGATTTGTGTGTTGGCTATGATACTTCTCGGGTGTCCAAACCGAAGCAGGTGGTTTTCTTAGGGGGCCACACCCGGAGCCTTCGACCTGAAGGTCTGATCCACAAGGCAGTGGAGTAACGTTAGGAGATGCACTCCCGTGGTAGCCGATGACCAATAATAGGTTAATACACCTTTTGTCCCCTCAGGATACTGGAGCCCATATGCACCACTGGCTTGGAATTCAGTCAGTCAGTCAGCTACAACGTAGGACCAGGCACATATGTGCATCGGTCCAGGTTGCCATACCGCATCAACACAACAAGATGAACACCGGATTCATAACAGTGGTTAGGGGTTTTCCAACTCCCGTAGGTGGACTCTCCGTGTCCACCAGCCCGGTTAAAGCACCGGACACTCGCTTTTCGTCCTCCCAATTTCGTAAACACTCCCGACATGAGAATTCAGTGAGTAGGAGCTCCGTAAGAGTGGCTATATACATGTGGCCATGTGAGAGAGTATTTTTGGGGAAGAGGTGATTCTCTCCGCCCTCTGCCGTACCGTGGCATTCGGGGGCAATGAGCTATAAATTGTGTAAGTTTTCCTTAAAAGATACATTTAAACTAATTGACCTTCTTGATGGTTTTGATATTAAAGAAAAGACCATGCATTTTTTTGATGTATACCTTGTTTTTACGAATGTTCCCCTTTTTCCTATTCGGTCAACACTGTTGAAAAATTTACTTTTATTGTGTACTAAAAAACTTCATGTTTAAAGGTGAACATCTTCGACAAGTTGATGGTGCTGCTGTGGGTAGTCTTTTGGAACCTTTCTTAGCCAGTGTATTTGTCATATGTTGAGAGTATGACAAATGAGCTTTTGAGTGAGGTAACCTCATAAGAGATACATGGATGATATATTAGTTATGTGTGATAATAATTTCGATATTGCTCAGTCATTAGATAAACTAGATAGTTTGACCTATGAGGAAGAAATTAATAACAGATCACCATTTTTAGACATACTTTCGAGTCGATGGGAGGTTGGGATTATAATGCGGTCAGTATATAGGAAACCAACATGGAGTGATCAATATTTAAACTTCCAATTTTTATCCGTTGTAGCACGAGCGAAGCTTCGTAAGTGCCTCTCTAACAGCACTCAAAGCATATGTGCTGCAGATATGTTTGAAGATGTGAAATTGCTGACTGACACAGTGATATCAAACGGTTATCCACTGAAGTTTATAAATAAGTACAATAGTCAGTCAACACCAAATCTCTTTAATTCTGTTGCGAAAGAAAGTGTTAACATACCTCTGCTATTTGGAAGTGAATCTAACAGTATGATTTTAGGACGGAAACTAAAATCAGCAATCGAAGACATTACGCTGCTAAGCTGATCGTGATCGGAGGTACTAATCCCATAATTCCAAATAGACCTAGGCATTGCACGAGTAATGCGATGATTTCCCCTTCTTTCCATACTATGTTGATTTTCTCTTTAAAGTATTACTTTTTTTTACTTGAACCGTCATTTATTTGACCCTTATTAATTTTCACTTAAGATGCCTAGACAAGTATATGTGACTAGATTGTTCGAGGTGTACTGCCCAAATACGAAACATTTTTCAGACCAACTTCGTCTTCTAATTTTTCTGTCAAAATGTCGACTTCTCGGTCTTTCTTTATTGTGTATAAAATCTTGTGCCATTCAGTAAATATGCTGTAAGTAGGATCTGTCGATAAGCTTTCACTTTTTATGTAGCTCAAAACCTTGTTTTTGACTCTGTGTCTTGAAACTTTTTTGTTGATGCAAGTTCGGTTTTAATTTCATGTATTTTTAGTAATGAAACTGGTTATTTTGGATGTGACGGTTTATGCATAAGTTTTATCCTTAAAATCCGAAATATAATCGTGCAGTATCTGTTATGCTATCTCATGTTTTAATCCCATATCTTATTTTTTCTTTTCATAGGTTCTTCGTGTAGGAGGGTGTGGTTATAAAGTTCTAGTGCTTCTGGAAGGACGTGCTCATGTTTATGTATTCCCTAGCCAAGGTACTAAAAAGTGGGATACATGTGCTCCAGAAGCTGTGCTTCTGGCATCTGGCGGGAAACTAACAGATTTAACTGGACAGTCTTACAAATACGATCTGACTGCTAAACATGATAATCTTCGAGGCATACTTGCTACTCCTGTCGCCGATTGGTTGCCATCGTATGTTTCTTGTTTGCCAAAAGAAGTGCTTGACGATTTCTCAGCTCGTGATTAGGTAATACTAAATCTTATTTTTTGTTTATTATTATTGACTTTGTTCAATATTAGATGTGTAGTACAATATAATGTTGGTCATTACATACATTTCCTATGTGTTTATGTGAATAAGCCTTTCTCTTCGCTATTCCGTAGTCGTATTTTTTTTACGTGATAACAATGTTTATATGACATTCTATATCATCCATAGACTGATTTGTATGTATTCAAGTGTGTGATTATTTTTTTCTTTTGATTCTTTCTACCAATGTTAGAAGTGTTTTGAAAATAGTAATTATTTGAACGAGTATTTAATGTGTTCAGGTGCCCACTTCTTTTCGGCTGTATAAATTGTTTTTGTTGGCTGAAAATCATTTATTATTGTAATCTAACTAATTTTATTTTGTGATCCATAATTTTCGTTTCTTAATCTTTGTTAGTTAAAAAACGTCTCAGTCGGTTCAATTGTATTAAAGCATATATTTATTATGTAAAAAATAAATAAAGCTAAATTATTATTAATGTTGTCTTAACTAGTAAAAAGACGATTCTATGATACTGGTTGGTAATAGCTGATATAAAAGTGGAATTATCATTAGTCAAGTGGACAGGGAAGTAAATATTTAAGTTATGGAGAACAGGTTTTCAATTATCTCGACAAGAATAAATTAGTATGTAGGTTGGATGTAAATGGAAAGATTAAGTATGTGATCCAAATAAAATGTTCATTGACTGACTTGCACGGAAGCGTTATAAAATTTAAAAACTATCTGCCATTCTTATTTACAGATTATAAACGACATTAGTAGTATGATAGTTGACAGTTTTATTTTAGAAAAATATAGGTTTATCATAATTAGTCTATCTTAAAACAAATAAACTCAAAAAACGAAACGTGAAAACTATCCTGTATGTAACTTTCTCAACTAATTATGTTAACACCTCTCTTTGCTAAGTCATTCATACTGGTAGCCATTACAGTAGATGTGAAGAATACGAATTATTCACTTTTCTTCATCACATAGACTCCCTAATTCTGATAGATATAGGAATCATGAACCACAAAGTGACAGTATGCTATCCTTTCAAATTTCCTGACTGTGTTCTTTTTTTTTCTAACGAAGTAGGGGCTGCAAGCAAAACACACACTCATAGACAGATTTCAGTTAGCGAGACGTCTAACTGATACTGGTTCTGATATTAATTTGATTACCAGAAGGGGTTTGCGGAGATTTTAGAAATTTCACAGACTGAAATCATGCGTCAGTTGAAGCTAGACCACCATGGAAAACCTGAAAGCACTGGACTGGATTGGTTGAGGCTAGACATTAATACCGTTGGATGCCGGCTCGGTGGTCTAATAGTTAAGTGCTCGTGCGCGAAACCATTAGGTCCTGGGTTCGAATCCCGCGGGGTGCTGGATCATGGGTGCGCACTTCTAAGGAGTCCCATACTAGGACGAAACGGCCGTCCAGTGCTTCCAGGTTTTCCATGGTGGTTTAGTTTCAACTGACTCATGATTTCAATCTGTGAAATTAATTTGATTATTCGTGGAATATGGCTGACACTAAGATCCCCTACTGTTTGCGAATTACCATAAATTTGGGGATAATGCTGATAACAAGATTATTTGGTGAAATTCAGTGTAATGTCTCATTTAGATCCGAAACATAATGGGGCTTGTGTCACTTTACGGTCATGGTTCATTCACAAGTCACAGCTAAGTAATTGTTAACTCTGTCCCAGCTATGTACTGATTAGTATTAAATATTCTGGTACATTATGGTCTTGATTTGGTTTCCCTCCTATCCATTCGGTTCTAAAATGCGCTTGGATTTCATAAAATAAGCTGAAGTAAAGTTTTTGGGGAATACGGGTTGAGAAAACAACTTTGAGTCCTTGGCGCAAGTAGCGAACCAGGATTTCCAATGTCGAACGTATAGTGATTCATTTCCATGAGTAAACAAAGTTGCGGCTGTCCAAGACGCTTTGATGTTTGATTAGTGTGCTGTATTCAGGACTTCGGGCCATTCTTCTGATCATGTGACTGGAGAGTATTGAAATGGTGCTTTTGCAACAGATGCTTCTATTTATTTGAGATATACTTATCATCGTACCAAATCCAAATATCACTGGCAGAAGACCTTTTATTATCATGATTATCGTGAACAAATATGAATACAAAAGTGAGATGCTATCCATCTTCAGTGATGAAAGTAAATTTATGCCTGAAGCCAAATTCAGAGGTATTAGCAAACTAGATGGAAGAATAAATTCGAACCTAGTAAAACTGCTACACATGAATATTATTGGTAGAGAGGAATTTAATTTCCTAAAACCTATTGGTTCTGAGTATCGTCATCGACATTGATTACCTAAGATGCACAAACCAAACATTCGTTTACGCATAATTTTATCACTGTATCGCTTACCTATATATAACCTAGTTAAATTACTGGATCCTATTCGAACACGTTCATATAAGTATTCTGTGAAGGATTCTTTTTAATTGATCGATCATTTAGGTCGTATTAGTATCAGAGGAAAGACAATGTGTTCGTTTGACGTGATGTCCTTGTTCACAAATGCACCTCTGAAAATGACTTTTGATATATTATGTGACCATATATCTTTGAACAACCTTAAATTACCTGTTTCTTTAGAAGTTCTTAATGATTTAGCACTATTATGTACTGACAACGTCCAGTTCAGATTTGAAGGTGAATACTTTCTCCAGATTGATTGGGATACTATGTTTAGTCTGTGAGGACCGTTATTAGTAGATGTGTATATGACACATGTTACAAATCTAGCTGAAAACCTAGTCGAAAACACGTCTGTTTATAAGAGATATGTGGATGATATCTTAGTTTTCTGTGAAAGAAAATACGATATAAATTGCTTACTAAGTAGAATTAACACTTCAAAATCACATCAGCTTTTCATGTGAAGAGGAGAAGAGTAACCGGCTTCTCTTCTTAGATAAGCTAATAAGTAGACGAGAAGGTGATTCAAGCAAACGATCCATCTTTCGAAAACCAACGTTCACGGGCCAATACTGTAGCGGTGAATAAATCCCAAAAATAAATAGCTCTATAGGTTTACGACATTGGATGCCGACCAAATTAGTTTTAGTGGACTCACCTTGCTGAAGGCGCTCGGTCATGCATCCGCACCAGATCACGTGTGGGAACGCCGTGCTCAACTGCTAATGCAATCGCTAGTCAGATTAGGTCAGATGATTCCGATATATTGGCAATCGTCAAATACAACTTCTGATCTCTTCGATTCTGTCTTTTGATTTCTCTTGGTGGGTACGAGTTTTAGTAGAAGGTGTTACTGGTAAAAGCGTTGTCAAACACTGAATACCTGTGCCATCTTCATTGGTGAGCCCAACGTGATCTGGTACACTAAATCGTAAACTATGAGTCTGTTCCATTTCGGGATTCTATATATCATTGCTTTATTTTAATTTTTTATACATCGTGATATTTTTTCCTCGCGTTTTTGGATATCTATATATTTTTCACTCGTGTATTCTCGTATTTAATATTCCCCTATGACTGAACAGACCCCCAAGGTATTTAAGATTAAGACTATGTCCCCACCCTCGTTTCAACTCATGCCTGGTTCTGCTACGCAGAACTCGACTTCCACGAGCACGGCGTGAACGACACACGTGCACAGTTCCCCGCAGTAGTCAAGGCACTGCCACTGGAATTCAACAGGTACGTAACACCTAGTATGTTTACTAGTGATGTGTCTGAACCGTACGAAACCTTAAAGCGTTCCATTCTTAAACGAGGAGACCTAACCGATCGACAAAGGTTAGACCAACTCTTTAATAATATAGACCTGCAACACGGTTCTGCGACGTACATGTTACAAAGGATGAGAGAGGTGATATGCCTAAGAACTTTCGACGAAGGTCTATTCAAACAACTTTTCCTGTCTAAACTTCCTCAACAGGTGCAAACTGTGCTTGTCTCGTTTCAAAACAACGCCTTAGACGAGCTGGCTGCATCTGCCGATCGTATTTTAGAAATAACGAAATCGTCTACTACAGAGGTATTTTCAGTCAAAGAAATACCTCAAACGACTCAGAATGACATAACCGAGTTATGCCATACACTCACGCGTTATCTTAATCTTCGTAACGACCGTAATCGCTCACACAGCCCACGTAGAAGCATTTCACGTAAGCGATGTGTCTCTAGACC